CTTGCTTAGGGACTCCCTGGAGTTGTGCTAGTCTCTCTACATGGGGCTTGCATAAGTGGGAACTGGCTCAGTGTCAACGAACACCAACAACAATGTGCTACGGATCTCAGTGTTTGCATCTGCATCCATACCTATCTAAGCACAGATTCCCCTTACAGCACTGTTATTAGCATCCCAAGCTAGGGAAGTCCAGAAAGCTGAACAAACAGGAACATTCTACAGACATCAGCACCAGAGATATGTGTACAAATGTGCAAGAATTTCTATAATAAATTGTGTACACCCCCCGCCCCCCCGCAAGCCAGCTGTCCAACAATGAGGACATGAGTTTGAAGAACTGCTGTTAAAACAACAACAAACAAACAAAAAAGTGCAGCTGGCTGACAAGATATGTTTATGTTCCAGGCTGTCAAAGGTAGTTACATGCTTCTGTATTGCTACACTTAAAACAAAAATGGGCATGCATTAAATTTCACATTTTAATATAGCATTAACAGGGAGCCTTCCAGGGCACTGGAAGTGGTCTATAGCATCCGCTGAGTGGTGGCTGCATGGATTTGCATGTCAAGCTATGAGCTAAAGGCTGGAGCTTTGGGTACTTCATAAGGGCTATGTCCATACTTTAATTAAAAACATCAATTAATCCTCTCAAAGTTTTAATATGATGAACCGTAATGTTTATAGTAGAGTTGAAGAGTTACCTGCACCAATACAAAAAACCGTTTCTTCCATCTCTTCCAGACATTCTTACCGATGGCCCACAAATACCTAAGGGGAAGGAAAAAGAGCAGAGCTGCATTAGTGCTGAGCAAGTGCGCCGTTCCAGAGGTTGTACCAGGAGCTTTGTGCCCAGAATCAAGGGCGTGTCAACGGCTTGAACTGAGCAAATCTGTGAGCAGTAACAACAGGCTTCAACTTGCAGAAGAGATTGTGGCCCGTCATCAAAGTTGACCGAGCTTCCTCGATTGATTTCAGAAAGTCCCTTGGGAAATACCACACTGGAGATTAATTTCCTATGTGTTAAACATTTCTTAGGTAGGGAAAATTCCCCAAAAGTGCACAAAAGAGAGGGAAAAAAATTTTTTTTTGTCTGCCTCTTATCGGGCCTCATTCAGGAGAGCCCTTCACGAGCTTTCTTTTGCCATCATTCTGGCAAATGCACACAAGGAGGAGGCTCTGCCCACTCCTTCCTTCCTAACTGCTTTCCTGCTGTTGGAAATTCGCCTCTCTAGAGGATATAGAAATGTTTAGAAAATAAAAACGAAATGAAAAGAAGCACTAAGAAAGACAGAGGCACAGCTTCAAGTGTGTGGAAATTTGAAGCACAATATTATTAATTCACTCAGGAGCTCTGTCTTGGGGTTGTTAGATGTAGGACTGGTATTAATGTAGGCCTGTGGTTCAGGCTCAGTTGGACCAAGAACAGGAGAGCTCTCAAAAACAACCCCCCCCAATAAAACACCCCACAAACTCACTGCCATCAAGTCAATTTTGACTCATAGTGACCCCATAGGACAGGACAGGCCTATCCCTGTGGGTTTCTGAGACTAACAGTTTATAGGAGTAGAGAGTCCCATCTTTCTCACCGGGAGCAGCTGCTGGTTTCTAACGCCGTCCTTGGGGTTAGCAGCCTAACACGTAACCACTAGAGTTCTGGCCCTCATAAAAAACACTCAATAATCAGTATCGAGTGTGGCTGGCAACAATTTACTCCTGGCCGCAAGCCAAAAACCCCAGATGTCATCCGGGGTCCTTGGTTTCTCGTCCTCATTCTTCACCCACCAGGTGAGCTTATATCACACTTAGGAAAGTTCTTCAATCTGCTCAGTCTTCCCAGCTCTCAGCTCCACGATTCCAGCCCCAGACTGCATGTTTGCATCCACACACAGCTCTAGGGCAGCTTGCTCAGGAGCGCCAGGGACACAAGAATGATTGTCATTCTCCTCCTGGTCACAAGATGGACCCTAACAACGGAAAGTCGCATCATGACATCATCCTACAAGGTCTTTTCCCTGTGGAAACTCCTTCGATGGGTAGCCCCCTGTCCACAGAAGAGTGACCCAGACCCTGGCCATTGGCCTTCCATGTGCATGATTTAACCTCTGTCTGTCTACCTGAACTATGATTCACTTGATATTTTTCTTTTAAGTGGACTAACTTACATGCAAACATCTACTTCAAAAGGAAGCTTTATACGACAGGCTCGATACACACTAGAAGAGTGGTTCTCAACCTTCTTAAAGCCACGATCCTTTAAAACAGTTCCTCATGTTGTGGTGCCCCCCCCCAAACTATAAACTTATTTTCATTGCTACTTCATAACTGCAATTTTGCGACTGTTATGAATCAGGCGACCCCTGTGAAAGGATCACTCAACCCACAAAGGGGTTGTAACCCACAGGTTGAGAACCCCTGCACTAGAATATATATGTGTGTAACTTTGAAATGAATCCATGCCTGTCTATACATGACTCAAGTGATCTGGTAGCATCGGTGGGCATCTCCGGGTAAAACAAATAATGACACATTCATCTATTCTAAAAGGTTAGCAGCTTGAGTCCATCCAAATGTCTTGACAGAAAGGGCTGAGGACCTACTTCGGAGAAAGCAATTTACTCCGAGATACTTAGGGACACCATGGGATGGAGTTGACTCGGTGGCAGGCGGTCTGGTTCGCGGTTTGGCATCATGCTATGAATACACTTTGGAAAGCCTTAAGCCCAGTGTCTTGAGCTCGCCTAGGTAGCTCCGCTCTCACCGCGCAGCCAGCATCCTCTGGTGAAGGGTCAATCGGATCATCGATTTATTCTTGGATTGGGAGCGAGGGCTGGTTTTATGCAGGGGAGTGGCTATGTTATATTTCTATTTTAGTATGATCACATATACTGGCTTCTGGGTGCAGACTATGCTAAAGATGGAAGGGGCAGTGAAGTCAGTGAGAATCGGGGGAAGGTTGGCACAGACCAGAGATGATGGTGGCCAGACCAGTCTGAGGCAGTAGAAATGGTCGCTAAATTCATCAGCCAACATCTGTTGTTTGGCGAACCACCTCGCTGGCCTGGAGTGTGCGCTTACCCTTCTTGAAAGAATAATAATAAGTGAATGTATTCATGCAGAAAGGGACGAGAGCCGGAGGCCTGGCTAGAGTTAGGAGAGAGGAGCTTCTTGGCACATGATGGGTAAGGATATAGCCTTCCCATTCCAGCTCTGCCGGTTCCTCTGTGATGTTGGGCAAGTGGTGCTTCACTTCTTAGATCTCTGTGAGACAGGGGCAGGCATGGGTCCTCTCTCACAGATTTGTGAAGCATGAATGGGATCATGTGTGCGAAGTATGAGCGTGGGGCATGTGCGGAATGTAGATGGACAACGAATGTTAGCCGTTATTACCAAACAGCTCTGTGTCCCGGGGATTGCACATGATTATTAAACAGGGAGTAAGAGATGGGTGGCTACAAATAAGTCTTCTTGGGCATATGTCCAGAGGGAACTAGAGGAAATGAGAGATCAAACGCAGACAGTGGGTGCACAATTTTGTATTTTTAGTACTGGCTGGCAAGGCTGTAGCAGTCTCACACTTTTGTGGAATTTCATCTGGCAGCTAAAAGAAAAAAGAAATGGTCTGTCCCCTTTGCTCGCACTCACGTGGAAAGACCTGAGACAGGAATGCAGGGACTACAGCTACCAGGCACATCGGTTTCCTTGTTTTTGTTTCTTATTTATGAGATTAAAAGTAGAAAAAAAGGAGTTGACAAGGACCCACGGAATGAAACTCCTAGAGAATCGTTAACTTTCTTTTACCATAATAGTAACTACTCTTCAGCGAACTTGTCCTAGCCCACTGTGGTGGGGCAGACCGTGGTGCACAGCCTCAGCGTGGCCAGCTGGGGGGTGGGCCGGCCAAGCAGAGGTGGGGTGCTTGCATCTGGAACCATGCTGCCTGGGTGCATACGGCACCAGGGCCACCTTTTCTGAACTCTTCTCTACCTCGGTTTTCTCGTTGTGCAATGGGGCTAATCCTAAGGACACCTCTCCCCAGGACTGCTGTGAGGATTCGGTTCATGAAATAGAAGCAGCTTACGACAGTGCACAGCACCCAGTCTAGACCTCCGAGCAGCTACTGTCCTTAAGCACTTGTTCTGGTTTGAAGTTTGCAAAGGCTCAGCAACTTTGCCCGGTTGGCACAGCTGACGAGGGAGGCGTCTGACTCGGGAGCATCTCCTCCCTTGTGCCCTCCCCCTCCTCGCACACATGGGTTTCCCACCCGAGACGGGGACACAGGCTGTCCCCCGGGCTGCACCGAGAGGGCAGGCGGAGCCAGGTGGGACCCGAGGCCCTCCTCGGGAAAGTACCAGTCGGTTGGCGCGACGGAGGGGCTGTCCCTCTGAGGCTTTCCTCGGGATTTATTGCTAAGTTGGCACATACCAGAAGGTGTCAAAACCGAGACAAACGGAGGGCTCCACGGCACTGTCTCTAGCTAGGCGGCTCCGGCTTGACGGAAACGCGCTCAGGAAACAGAAGGCGAGGCACCTGCAGCAGACGGCAGCTCTGCTCGTGCAGACACGCAGGTGGCTCTCCCCGGCCAGCTCCCCACCCTGTGACCCAGCAAGCTCTAGGCAGCTTTGCGTCCGGCAGGCCGACCCAGGCGGGGCTGGATTTACCCGGATAGAGAGCGGCAGTCAGCAGCCCCAGTGTCAGAGTGGTTAGGTGTCGGACCATGATGTGAAGGGTCCGCAGTTTGAAAGCACCAGTTGTTCTGTGGGAGACCTCACCGGGCAGTGTTACCTTGTCCTATAGTCACTGTGAGTCGGCATCGACTGGAAGGCGGTGAATTGGTTTTTACAGCAGCAGTCTAATGTACTGAGCCTAGCAGCTATGATCTCAGATTTGGGTCGGACTATCTAGGTGGGCATGTTGGCCCTGACATGAACTGTCCAGTGGCTTAGTTGTCCTGTGCCTCAGTTTCACCAGGTATAAAATGGGAGCAAGTACAACATCCGCTTCACTTGCTAATGGTCAAGACTGATTGAGATGATGCACATCAGAGTTAGGGCACACAGTCAATGGCAGGCAGTAAGTGCTCAGTAAAGGCTCCTGGCATGCTGCTTTGCTAAAGGCCACAGCCTAGGCAATGCTATGGGGCAGTTCTGTACTGTAACACAGGGGGGCAGTATGAGCGAAAGTCAGTTTGAAGACACCCAACAGCATTTGTAGTAGTAATAGAGTCTCTGGGTAGCACAGTTAAGCTGTTGGCTGTTACCCCAAAGCCTGGGAGTTCAAATCCACACAGAGGTACCTCAGAAGAAAGGCTTGGCAATTGACTTAGAAAAGACTGCAGCCAATGAAAGTTTTACTCTCTATGTGTGGGGTCAATACAAGTCAGAACTGACTTGAAAACCACCTGTCTGGTTTAATGGTAGTATTTAAAACAGTAGTCCACACCTAAAGAGGAGGAGTCCTGGTGGTGCTGTAGGTTACACAGTGGGCTGCTAACCTCAAGGTCAGATGTTCAAAACCACCAGCTGTTCTATAGGCGAAAGAGGAGACATTCTGTTCCTGTAAAAGGTTATAGTCTCAGAAATCCACAGGCGCAGTTCTACTCTGTCCTTCCTATAGGGCCGCTTTGAGTTGGCATTGACTCAATAGCAGTGGGTTTGGTTCAGCCTAGAGAGTATGTAATAATCAGTCTTACAAAGGGTTCATCCCTGAATGCTCCTTTTGTTTTCAGGAACATATTTTGGGAAAATAAGAGGGAGCTTCAAAAAGTTAGT